AACATAAGTGTTGGGGGAAAACTTGAAAAGCCTGAAGATGTTTACTGGTCTTAACACCACCATTTTAACCTTTTATTGCATGTGTTGGCATCTTCCCTTACACAAACACACAGTTGGAAAACACTCTAATGTTAGAAAACATAATACTTGTGACATAAATATTTAGACCCTTCTGTTTACATTTCTAGATGAAAATGGGAGATGTAAATCACATGGTCACCTTAGCTTTGAATGTTTTTCTTTCTGTAAGGCCTGGGGTTCTGAAAGTGCAGAAGACTCTTCAGGTCACGCTGAAAGGGTTTGCAAGACTTGAGGAGGTTTCCATATAGCATAACCCTATTTCCACCCAGTGGTTTGGTTCCTCCGATACTTAGTAGATGAATAAAAGGTGGGAAGTAAGCAGCTTGTTAGAGCAGAACAGCAGAACTTTTAACTTTAGCAAATCACTTGACTGAGCAAATGTTTTTTGGTTTTGTTTTTAATAGTTTAAGGGCTGAAAAAAGAAGTGACACTCATTTGTGCAAACTGATGAAAAGCCGTGGCGTGTCTAGAAGTTAACTTTTACTCTGCTTAATTTTCATACAAAAATTAATGTCGCATTTCAAGGCCAAGAATAAATATTTTTCAGACTAATGTAGTTTTGTCTTGCCACTGGACTCGGTACATCTTTCTGCCTGTGACTTATACTTTTGTGAACCACCATGAGGGTAAGTCTTATGGGAAATGCAGAGATGGTCTAAAAGTTTTGTTGGAAGCATACATCCCCCAGAAATGTGAGGATACCAGGCTCTAAGAGGAGAACTTGTCTTTTATAACGTGGGTAAGAGGCAGCAAAGGCACACACGTATTGACGGTCGGTGTGTACGAAACAACGTGGTAGCAGCTTGGTGTTCAGGTTGTACAAAGGAAAGAGGAGGATATCACAAGAAAGAGTCACATGGGGAGAGGTTTTAGCAGCATCCCTACCCTGGAGATCAGGGAAGGTGCAGAGGAAAAGGTGCTGTGATCAGCACGCTTGCAAGGGGTGGTTGTGCGTGAGGTTTGTTCATGTGCTTGCAGACTATGGTGCTGTGTGCCTGCTTCTCTCATCTGGGACCAAATCCTGCTCGTTGGTCACTAGTGAAGAAGGATTTGGGGTTGGGCTGGGGGAAGAGGATGGAGGCTTTGAGCAACCTGGTCTAGTGGAGGGTCCCTGCCTGTGGAGGGGTGGGGTGCAGTTGGAACTGGGTGATCTGTAAGGTCCCTTCCAACCCAAACCATTCTATGATTCTATGCAGAAGGATATGAAATGCCTTGCTCCGGGAAGCACTCTTCTAGATACCTTTTTTTGTAGGATCAGAGCTGCACTGCTCTACAGCCTCAGTCAGTAGCTTCTGGCCTTGCTAACAGCTCGGATCTGTAAAATAGCAGCTTGGGATCTTGCCTTTGGTCTTTTTATTGCCTTTTTTTCTTCTTATGCCACTTGTTCAGTTACTTTATGGAGGAGTTTTCTGCAGAAGTGCTTGATGTCCTGTCAGTTATTGCTGTCGGTCTGCTCAGTGCGGCTTTGGAAATACTAGCTTGGAAATAATTGCTTAAAGCTCAAAGAGTTCCTCTTTCTCATCTTTTGTGTACAGTATACAAGATATGTAAGGGATTCCGATAATAAGTAGAATATAACTTTAAACAAGTTATAAGTGGTAGATGCTTTTAATCTTGAATCTGAACCTGCTTGTAAGAAAAATACAGAAAACAAGTCCCTTGAATGATGCCAAGAAGCTGTTTATTCTGTGTGGTTATCGTGGATCTTCCCTGTTTAAGAGTTTTAAGTTAAAGAAAAGCAGATCTCCAGTTTGGTGCTCCAGTTTGGTGTGTTTTCATAGCACTTGTCTAGGAATAACTGTTTGCTCAGCAAGTAGGCTTCTGCGCACAGCTGTAATGTTGCTTTTGGCCTTCATTACCAATTCATTTGGGGATGAGTGGCAACGCAATGTAACATGAGAACAGAAAATGTATGTTTAGTGGGCAAGCTGCACTCCAGGAGATCAGGTTATTTTTCCCGTATTTTAAAATGGATAATTAACTGTTATTTTGAAGTCTTAATTAAAATAACAGAAAATCAGCGTATTATTCTGTTATCTTAGGAATAGTTTATGTAAAGCATAGAATATGTTTAGAGAATATTTTCCCTGGGAGTATACTACTGATTTGTGACTGTCAGGAAGAAAATGGTATTTGATTTTTTTTTTTCTTCCCTCCTTATGTGCTGATAGGTGATTCATTTCTCACATGGTGGTTCTTTTGCAAGTGAAAAGCACTTGCCTATTTTTAGAGTACCTGGCACTCCAGTACCTCCAATTCCCTATTTTTTATGTTGGCTGTTAGATCAAGTAATGTGTGCTGGACACTCGGAGGAGATGAAGTTGGGCAGTGCTTCTTATGCATGTACTTCACGGAAAAAGCAGTAACAGTAAATATTTTTTACAGATTTTCATTAGGTTGCTTGTAAATTATATGGAAAAATAGATAGGAACAGAAGCACCCAAAGGAGAGTAGGTACTTGAGCACTAATGTTGCCTTGTAGGGTGAACGATCTTGTTGGGGTAAGAAGTGGGAAGTAAGTCTGCTTTCTGGTTGTGCGTTGATTGACTTATATACCAGTCCCACCAGTACAATTACCAGCTTGGGAATGACTGTGTGGCTTCAGTTGGCTTTTATTTTACTGGTCAGAAGGGTATTTCAGGAGTTACTTTTGAAAAATTGGCCCATTGATTGTCCTTAGCCTCATTCTTTTCTGTTAATAAATAAAATCGGTGGCTCCTTGGGGTTGGCAGAGCAAGGAGATAGCCTTGAAAAACAGTTATCAGTTGCTGCCCTGGCTGTGCACTTCACGTGAGGAAAGGAATAACAGCATTTGCTTATTGTATTTTGAGACAGTTTCTGTATGATGGCAAAAGCAAAATGGAGTGTAAGAATTCAAAATTGTGATATTTTCTTTATGGGTGTAATAGCTGCTATCTGACATCTTTCAAGTTGACTTTTAGGCCTTTGGTGTGGAGAAGGCATCGTCTAGTAGCCTGGCGTTGTATATATGAATGAGACTGCCCCCAGTGTTTACAGTGTGTGCAGACAGGCATGGCCCTTGGCATGTAAATGCATAGATTCTTTTACTAAAAGTGAGGCTCTTTTATGCTGAAACGGCGTACTTGCTTTCTGCGGGGCTAGTGTTTCTTAATATTTATAGCATATAAACACTGTTGTCCTATACAGGAAATGTCTGTTCAGTGTTCAAGTTGCAGTTGCTGTGAAATTTGTTGCCTGCGTTAATGCTGCTCATGTGTAATTTAGAACTTCTTCAGAGAAGTGGGCGAGAGCTCCTCAATTGTTTGTTCAATAGGTGCATCTGGTTCTGAATTAGTCCTCAGCTCTGATCATCCTGGGTTATTTTAGTTCCTTGCCTGTGGTTATGGTAACAGCTTCAAATGCCCAAAACCATTTTGGGCAAACATTGTCAGTAGCAATGATCAGAAGCAGCAATTATTTCCTGGTGTTTTCATCCCCAAAATAAACTTAATCTAGGCTTCACCATTACAAAAAACCGTGTGCGAGTGTTATTAAATGTTATTAAAATGTTTACATTTATAGAAATTCTTCTTCTGGTTTTATTCTTTATTGCTGAGTAGCGTGACAGGGTTTTGGCTTTTTCTGATAGGATTAAGCTGTCCTGATGAACAGAAAAATTGTCATGCTGTACAAAGACTGTTCTGAAATCTGTAGATTAAACATCTTAGTGTTGATTCAGTCCACTGTGGCAATACATTAAAAGTGATTTAGCTTTTTTTTTCATCCCTGTAAGGGAGTCGGTATAGTTGAAGCTCTACCTTCTTTTCCCCAGAAACCTGCTCTGCTTATGCACAATATGCTATTAAATTCTCCGTTCCCTTTTTAATAGCTTGCCTTCTAAGCTCCCCGCTGTCATCAGCCCTGGGAGGTCACCAAGCAGAGCACGGAGTTGCAGAGTGGTCCCTGATGGACACCTGCGTGACGGTCTGCTTCATCAGTTCTTCAGGCAATTTGTGAGCTGCTGGGGGGAAGCGTTCGGAATTAGATTGTTCATAGCGTCCCTACAAGGACTGCTATTAACAGCGTGCTACTCTGCTTCTCTGCTGCAGAAGACAGAGTGATATTTGTGTTCCTTTAGCATGTTGTAAAACGCATGAGATTTTGCTCATCCTCCTTGGAAATGAGAATAGGAAAATGAGAGCATCCTGAACCAGAAGCTATTAGAAGAGCATGCAGAAACCTGCAGCGATTTGTGCTTTATTTTGTCTTCCTAGCTATGGATTAGAAGGACTGATTTTTGCAATGGGCTTTTTCCATAATGGCATTCTTGTATTGTTTGGTCAGAGCTTGCAGAGGAGGAAAACAGGCTGCTGAATTTAGTCACTGATCTCTATTAGCCGTGGCCTAAGGCTATGCTGAGATTTATATCCCATTTGTATTGTTGCAGCTCAAAAGAAGAATGTTCAGAGGATGACAAGTGTATTCTGAGTAGGTATGTTGTTTCATTTTCATATGAAACCATTTTTTTTTTCCTGCTTCCATTGGTCAGAAATGAGGTTAATAGGGAGAGAATATAGTACAGTGCTGCAGTGTCCCTGTTAAGGTAGAACAATAGCATCAGAAACAGTTCTTTAAAAATTAGCTGCTTTTATTAAATAAAGCTGCATTGTGCTGGTGTGCAGAGTGCAGTCTTTTTTTTTTTTTTAAACATATACTGCAGTCAGCGCTTCTCTAACGAGGTGGCACTATTGTTGAGTTAGAAGGATAGAATCATCATATTGCTTTAGGGGACAGCAGGATTTAAAAGGAAATGCCTTGCAGCCCTGTTTTACAGATTGGAAGCATCGGTTTAAGGGCATTGGCAGAATCATTTCCTTGTTCTTAGCAGCAGCCACTGCTGTGTCAGTAGTGTGTGGAATGGAAGTCCTAGTTGGTAGTCTGTTATGGAAACGCTGTTTACTGTTATTGTAGTACCGTGGTGACAACATGCCATTGAAATGGAAAACGAGCTCTCCTGCTATCTGGAAATTCCCAGTTCCTGTGCTTAAAACATCCAGGTCATCGCCACTTTCTCCAGCATACATGTAAGTGAGAGAAATGAGGATAAAAAGGTGGGATTGCTTTCGTGAGACTACCCTGTGGCAAAATACCCTGTTATATATTGAATGACATTGGCACTCAGAATTTTACCTTGTTTTCTATGTAGATCCCCAGATTTTTATCCTGGATGTTTCATGATGGATGTTGTGTCGAGTCTTTCCCTCTTTGTTGAAACATAGAGAAATTGTGCAGCTTAAGCCATATTCATGACAGTATCTCGTACATGTTCATTTGAAAAGTTCGTGTTGCTGTTAATTTGTAGCGCTGATCTGGAATTGACAAGTTAAGCTTTGAGGCAGGCTTTCTTTGTAGTATATATGCTAACATTTCCTTCTCCTGACTATTACACTTGGAATTTAAACATGGAATCACCTGCTGTATTGTACTGCACTTTTGTTCGTGTAAGTTCTTGTATGAAAGAAAGCATCCTGCTTTGGTCTTGTATTCTTGACAGCCTTAGCCTTAATACAAAGTGAATGTCTTTGTAAAAAGTTACAATAAAAGCTTAAAATAGAAACATAAATCATTCATATCTGAATATTTCTATAGTTATGCAGTTGGTCCATGTGAAGGAGTTTCACATAAAAGACTATTTTAATACACATGAAAACAACATGCCTTTGTCTTGTCAAATCTTAACGGAGCTTTTGTTCACCTTTTGTTGCTGCAAGTTCTGTGTTAGCATATACAGGTGGCTTTTTCCCTTCTGTGAAACAAAACTAAGCGTAAGGTACTGAATTGCTTCTGCCGTTAATTTAAGGAAGCAGCTCTTTTGAAAATGAGGAAGAGTTGCTTTAAAATGGACAAGTAACAGTGTAGGTGACTTCCCTATCTGGAAATGAAGACTATTACTTTCCACTAGTATTCCATACCGGTATCTACAATATTAGTACTTTTAAGCTTGTATTGTCTTATTGCAGACAGGCTTTTGCTCTAGCTGCTGTAGGGATGTGCTGTAAGAAATAGGTATTTACAGGTCCTCTGAATGTCTTTTTAGGTTGTTGCTGAGAATTGCATTGATAAGCAGTGGAGCTGGAGCAATACAACACTGTGCGTGGTCACTATTGTTCTCGGTCAGAAAGGCTGGGTTTAAAGAGCTAACCTGGCTGTACAGAAACTCTGCAGTGCACGATCCAATTTTAAGATTAATTTTCATTGCAGTGCTTCACCTTTTCACTCACTGAATGCATCAGATGTTTCAAGCTACTAGAAATAGGCTGTTACCAATAAATTGGTACTTATTATGACTTTTTAAGAATATGACTAAATACAAAGGAAGTATAAGGATAAAGAGTTGAGGCTTTTGAACCTATTTCAGAGAAACACTGTCTTTTGTTGCATGATATATTTTTCTTGTTTTTAACTACAGTACTTCTATTGCAAGAAAAATCAGAAATAGCTTTGTCTGATCTCTGCTGCTGAAACTGAGAATTTCTTTTGTGCGTTGCCTTGAAATTCCTAATCTAGCTCTGTGTATGCTCTGGCTTTTATGATGGGAATCATGTAGCTGATTATCTCTGTTCAAAGTATGTGAACAGGTTTAGTGATCATGCTTAACTATATGATGCTGAGCTTGTCTGGAGCATGAGAAATATGTGATCAGCAGCCTTCATAATCTTTTTATAAAGACTCAATGCGTACCAGTGTTTATGAAGACATTTCTTCACTGGCATAGAGTTGTGACATGAACAGAACTCTTAAATCTAATGGTAAAATTACTCATATGCTTTATTATAAAGAATAAGAAACATTACAAAACGGCACCTATTTGATTGGGCAATATATACCAACTGGTAAAAGAAAAAAAAACCTTGTAGTTTATGTTGACCAGCAAAATAGGCGATGGAGTTAATTATTCTCTTTGCAGAGATTACAGTAAATTTGCTACTGGTTTTGTCATCTGATGTTTTTCATATATCTAAGTTTTTCTTTCATAAGTAGCACTCTGCACACTGTCAAAAGCCTTATGTTTCAAGTAAAAGATTCAAGACTAAGTGACCTGTGAAACATAACATGTATTGATGTAAAATAGAGGACCATAGAACTCTTGAATTCAGATGAACACTTGCATATTTGGTGTTTTGGATCTAGAGTATACAAAAGTATAATTGAGTTTTTAATCCCTTTAATACTTGACGTCTTCATCTTACAGGTTTGTAGTGTAATTTGGAATGGGAAGTAGGGAGATTCTGGTTTTTCTCACGGTAAAGTTGACCCTAACTTTAAAAGCTTCATCCTGCTTATGATTTGCAAGTAACTTAACTAGAGGTTAAGCTGATTGTCAGGAGCCATAAGTTTTATTAGTGTTTTATTTGGTCTGTGTACCTGATACATGAACTCTGCCTTAGTTTCCCTGTATCGAACCGATACGGGCAGTTAGGAGCATGTTTGGCTTCTTGGCTGAAGCAGGCATCTGCATCCAAAGTACCAGGGTAAAATGAAGTCCCACTGTCCTGCAAGCTGTGCAGCTGGGGCAGCTTAGCTGCAGCCTCCGCTTGCAAAGTTTGTGGTAGTTCTCGAGGTGGGGAAGGAGGACGAAAAGCTTGTCCCGGAGATTCTTCTGCTGGGGGAAACTTGTGCCCAGGTAGTACGTGAAGTAAAGGCCCTGCTGAAGCTGAGCTGGTGACTTTGTAGGCAAGGATATGCTTCTGTCACTGGGAAGTCTGCTGGTTTTGCTGGGTCTGGTACCGCTTTCCCTGCAATGGGAGGGAGCAGCAGTGAATTGCTGCTTCTCAGCTGGTGGCTTTGTTTCCCGTGAGTTATTTATTAGGGATGTTTTCAGGATATCCTGACTGACTCTTCACGTTGTATGGAGGGTGAAGGGTCCCTCTGCAGGGCTTCTGCTGGAACTGGTCTAGAGATGCTTGAGCTTTCCCCTCAGTTGGAGAGATCCAGTGACATTGCATAGGGAGAATTAGGCGGTATTAGAATTGGAGTGCTGGCGTGTGACCAATATATGTAGGTGTGATGCAGCTTAGGTTAGTGCATGAGTTAGGAATGTGCAGATAAGTGTGCATGCGCATGCCCTTGTCAGGCTGCTTTACATTTTCTTTCGTGACGCTTATGGTGTCGGTGTGTAGAGTATAGATTCCTTTTGTCAAAATGAGTGTGAAAGGTGTTACAGCAAGTTCGCGCTCTGCTAATGAAATTATATTCATAGTTGCGGTTACGTTGACTATGTGAAGACAGACATGGGTGATTTAATATATGATGTGGGCAGGTGAGCAGTTTTAGCAAGTGAATCAGGATATTAGAGTTGAAAATGTGGTATTCCTTGGCATTGTAGCTGTGTATTTATGGCCACATGTTAAAAACAGCTGGAAAACTGGCTGACATAAGTAGAGGTTAGGATCTGAGGCACTACTTCACAGAGGGTGAGGGAGGGTTCAGAATTTGGTTATATGTAACAGCTTTTAGGTGTGAATGTGTCCCAATTATTGTTCGCAGGCCACATCACATCATACAGTAAGAACTTAGAGGAGAATTCTTTCCTATTCATACTAGCGATGTCATTTACATTGTTCTCCAAAGTTATGCGCATCTTCCGCTAACATGAATGGAAAAAGTGTTTGTGGAAACTCTGGAGAATAAAGTGCTATGATGGACATCTACAAAGAATTCAATAATGCAAAAATACCACTTTCAAAAATACTTTGACTATTCTATAATCCTGTGTCATGTGAGAGTGATGGTTAGAAATCACTCTAGAAAAAATACTGTTTTCTGATAAGTTACATATTCAGTGAGGTGTTTTTAGTCATATTTAGAAACGACTAAAATGAAAAAAATCATATAGTCTGTTTGTGAACTTAGTGCCTTCTCTCCTTGTACATGGAATGGTGTGTTGGTATTTGAAATGTAAACTCTCCTTTGCATGTTCATAAACAATTGACTGATGTTAGGAGAAATAAACAAATGTGATACTCCAGACATATTGCTGTCAAAGAGCAGTCTGTCTATCCTGAACTGTGTGGTTGTGAAATTTATCCGATAGGAAATGCTTTGCAGTCATGGAAATCAGTTACTGTGCAGAAAAGTAGAATGAATTCTTAATGCTCTGGACTAATCAGCGTTAGTTTTAGCTGCTTATATAGGCTATATAGGTTAATGCTTTTGTGTCTTTCAAATCTCTGATTTGCTCTACAATGAGCTCTTTGAATGTGTTCCATGCAGTGATACATACTTAAATGGGAGAAGGTGTGGATGCATAATTCATTAGACCATCTGTATTAGGCAGTTCTCTTCTGTGAGACCACCCTATGTGTCTCTACCCTCTTCAGTGGTCATTTTCAGTAAATAAAACCTTTTTATTTGACAGTCTATACGATATTCATGCAAAAGCACTTTTGCATGTCTTTGGCAATGTTTCCATTTAAAGCAGTTACTTCATAGGTATTTCAAATTTCAATATGTCAAAATTCAATGTGCAATCCAACCCACATATTTTTTTATTTTTTTTAAACTAATCTGGTGGTGCGTGCAAACAGATGAATTGAATGAGTGGGGAGTTGAAGGGGCTTCTGTCTTACAGATAGCAGAAGACTGCTTTTAATCCCAGCAGTTTTGTGTATAGTGTTCTCATTTGTGCCTGTTGATTTTTACATCTACTTTTTAAATATTCAGTATTTCAGTAGATTACTGTAAATTTGAAATGTGAAATTCATTGCAGTAATAACTGGCAGAAACAAGACAAAAAAAAACCCCAAACCTGGTTGTCATGAAGTTTCCCAGTGCTAGTGATTTTTCGGGGCAGATGTTTATAGGTGATGCTGTGGTTTACAGGTCCTCAAAATCACGTTCTCCTTATATAGTGTCATGTTGCAATATTGACGTTATGTTGTGACATGCTAAAGCATCGTCATTGAATTATCTTGGATAGGTTACTCAGCCTATTCTGCCTGAATGTCAGTGCTGCCAGTTTGTAATTTTTGCTATTATTTCCTTGTTATTGTGGAAAAGTTTTGTGTGCCATTGCGTTCTACTC